CCTCAGCCTCGTCAGCGTGCAATTATTCTTTAGAATTTGACTACAGTCCGCAGTAATGAAAGGAATTTACACGTCAACGAACAATTGAAACACTTAAAAATTTCACAGGTTGTAGGCAATTTCTAAAGAATATATTACACGCTGACGAGGCTGAGGTTGAGCCGCGGGAGCTGTGAAATGGTCTATGTGAATTTGTATTTCGACTCATCAATATTTTTCATAACTCGATATTGTTCAGCGGGTTTTACAGGAAACTTCTTGCCGAAAACCAGCTGTTTAAATATATTGTAAATAAATAAATAAAATCATATAATTAACTAATGATACAAACCTGCACCAATATATTTCCATAGTTGCAAGCATCGAATATGAGGAAATTCCAGTCATCAATCTTATCAAGTAAATTAGACAGTTGTGGATCAGTCTTTATCACAAAGTCTTCGTGTGCTACCTCCGTAAGGTTTTYCCCAGTATTTTCATCATCAACAGTACATTTTTCATGACACTTGCATTTACACAAGCTGTTAATTTTGTCATACTTTTCCTTCTCATTTTCTTTATCGTTTCTCTCGGAAACGTCTCGTAAATCTTCCTTACTTTTATGTCTTATATAATTAATTTTGTCAGAATTTCTGCGAATTAGGCTTGGCGACTGTGCGAGCGGCCGCTCGGGAGATCTTCGGCCGAAGTTCGGCGAAGGCGGAGCATTAGTTCGATCGGGTGATATTCGTGACATGTTCGTAGAGCTGGTGTTTTGAGCAGGAAAAGCATTGCTGAAAAATGCAGGTCGATGTTTCGTAAATGCTTCTTGATTTCGCGTAGGGCTTCCATCGGATGCTAAAGGACTTTTAGGACTGATAGAAACAATAGAATCGTGTGACACGGATACCGTAGGTGTCCTTAGGATATTCATATCCGGGTCAACTGTCGGCATGCCGGTTGCCGAGGTTGTAGTCGTGTATGTACTTGACATGCGACGACCAGGCGCGAGACTTCTTCGTAAACGCTGAAATAAGAATATGTAATACAAGTTAGCTTTACATTGCGGACCTACTGACCTATTGAACAGTGCGCAATGCACTACTGGGAACCCAAGCGATGGTCGCAAGTTGCGCAATATCCAGCAGTCCATTCTCGACTTTCACATTCCCATAATGCCTTGCGTTTTTGGGGGTAACCAATCAAAAACTGTCCCAAATTGAAAGGTTTCTTAAGAATAAGATGTCTATAAGTGCGCAATGCACTACTGGGAACAGCCGTCCTTAGTATCGGTCCAAGATCTTCCCGAGTCTTCCGAGAAGATCTGGCACCCACTACTAACTACAGCAAACTATGGATCTAGATTTCAGCTTCAGCGCAGCAAACTGAAATCTCACTTACCATAGGTAATGTGACGTCTTCTTTGAGATCAGGTTGATCACTAACTTTCTCGACCATACTTTCATCTTGGAATCTCTCGAGTAGTGGAGTCATTGGCCCCATAAAGGGTCGTGGTCCCCCATGGAAGGCAGTCGGAGGTGCTATCATTGTACTTATTAATTTTAGTGTACTTGCAACATTTGGCGCCAAATTGGAGTCGGCTAGCAGGTCTGTTATCATTCCATGTGCCTCTCCAAGCGTTGTCTGGTCGACGATTCCCTGGAGAAATTGAAAAAACTCGCCATTTATTATTACTATTATTACTATTAGAGTTCATACCACATATCCGTGAAAAAATAAGTTAAAAAAAAGTTAAGTCTACTGGCAAAAAAATACTAGTAAAAAATTTCCTTAATTCCTGGTATATTTTGATTTACCAGTAATGTCTGTCTTAAAATTCGTGACACTTTTTATGGCAGTCTTTAAAAAAATCATCACTGAGATCATCTGTCCTATAATTTTTGGTCCATTTTAAAAATATAAAGTGATTGTTTGCAAACGTTTCATTTCACCACTCCACAAGACATTTTACATAGCGATGTGGTGCAAATTAGTACTTTGGGGTTTATACGGGCAATTAAAATGAATGCCTATTATGGTCAAGGGAAAGAAAGACATCAATACCATCTGTTCACATTGTTTTATTATTCATGAAACTGGTAAAAAATTAGCTGAAAAACACAACACTTATGAAAAAAATTGGGGAAATTTTAACATTAAAGACACAACAGGATTAATTATGCAGAGAAATGGGTCAAAATGTCTGGCTAGAAGCACCGTGACACAACAGCCTGAATGACATAAGCTTGAGTTCCTTTTCGTTAAATTCAATTTTTAAAGCCACTTTTTGACACGTCCTTCAATTTTTCTCACCCAAATGTGAACAAACCATGCCACATTGTATATAACGATTTTGTTTTTACATCAAAGTTGTCAAAATGGAAAATTATAGGAGTTTTAAATTTCAACCAATTAAAGAAAATTCATGGCTTTTTAATTCATTTAAAACAGAATTCATGCAAGTCATTTGTTTAAATTATCCTCTTATTTCATCCTGCCTCTGTCCTATGAATAAATTTAAGTTTAAAAAGGACATATCTCACTAAAATAGATAAGGTAAAAGAACGTAGACTACATAGAAAAAAAGAATTTTATCCAGAGCTGATTTTTGTGATTCACTAGATTTTTAAATCTTTGTGTGTTGTCATTAGTGCAGGGCCTAGGTAGCATCAAGGTAAGATTGTCTCTTACAACTTTCAAATACTGAAATATATGGTGCCCTGTTTTTTCTATATGCATTCTAGCTGAAGGACTTGTCTTTACACCAATACGATTTTTAAAACATATAAACATACAAAGATTTGAAAATCTTTTGTCTCAAATAAAGAAAAACAGTTAAATTTTGGATCTTAAGTCAGTTTAAGGGTACTTTGGTACGTTTTACAAATTTAAGCAATGCATAAGATCATGATATTTCATGTATTTTTTGTTTGTTTGTTTGTTTGTTTGTCTTTTGTTGTTTCTTCACATAACAACTAAGAATTTGCCAATATCATAGTATAAGCAGTTGATCACTGAAGTTTCTTTAATTATTTTTTTAAATACCATAATATAATTCCTACTTTAGTCAGCTTACATGCAGCATGTAGATTTATTTACCAGACTAATTACTGTAATGAAACTCCCATGATGAGGATAAATTAATATCCAATATCTACATATTTCTATCTTAAAATGCAACCCAAAATAATTTTTCAGTCAATTCCAATTGATGAAACTCGGAAAGCAACTATTTATAAATTGTTTCACAATGAAAATCTGTCCTCAATTCTGTAAAGATCATTCTCATAGAAACATGGTAGACATAAAGTAGGGATAGTGTATGAATGTCATGCCAACATAGATTCCTATCATCTCATCAAAATTTCAATAATTTCAAGATTTTAAATGTGCAGTTTGTCAGTCCTGTCAGCTTAGAAATAAAGCATGATTGATGTTTTTTATAGAGACTATAGTTGAGAATTTGTGCATTGTATGATCATATGCACAGATGACAAGTGTTTTATTATCATGATATCACTATGTAACTATCTTGAAACCAATGGTAACACCTCGTTATGGTATAAAAAATAGGCCGTCATTTTTACTGTTATTAGCAATAGGCCATTCACAGGACATCATCACATGGCTGTTACTGGATGGCAAAAAAAAAAAAAAAAAGGGCTACCTAAGCTCATTAGAAGGACTTCTGCTGGGTTGCTCATGAATGTATTAATCGAAAACCTATATTTCTATTATATAAGATATTTTTGATTTTAAGAAATGAAGCAAATTAAAGTTTGCTGTCTAAGCAGGATGGACCTTTTATGAATTGATTCATTATCAAAGTGATATATTAACACATGACAGGTTTGATACAAAATTTGCCCTATCAAACATTTCTTATTGTGATATGCAGGTTATATTAACTTTTAACTTCTATCATTACTCTGAAACATTGCCTCTGGGCTGATCAAAGCAAAGACAAATCAAACTCAAAATTAAACTAAATTGAAAATTAATTTTTCCGAATTCAATTCCAAGGGCTTTCGCCCGGAATAACCTCGTTCCCAAGCACTATAACTTATCTATATTTCTATATCTTCATGTATTTCATAAGTGCTACTCGGTCGGTCCACATATTCTCATCTAAATCGAAAATTAGTGTGTTTGGTGTTATGAGGGAGGAAAACCAGAGAAACAGATGTTGAGTGAACAAATTGAACTGACTCTAAAAGTAGAAGGTCAGAGCTCTACGTCTAACACCACCCTGGATTCCTTAGTTTATATTTCATTAGATTAATCAATTCAACTTTTCACACTACATGAAAGAATAAATTGGAAGTTGTTGATGTTCTGTATTGAAATGGGCTATTTTTGCTCCAAAGAAGGTTCTCATTAAGTCTCACTTTGCAAGAACATCTAACTAAATCTACTTTTGACTCTGTTTTCTGGTGTCTCGTTTATAAACTTTGGTTTTAAATAAACTTTCACTTTATTCACACCAAGTTTGCTATATAACAAGTAATATATATCAAGATATAGAGTCTGAATGGTGTTAATAACCTGAAGTAGTTTTACGACTGATCAAAGGTAGCCTCAGAACAACCAAGGTGGCCTAGCCTTATCAGGGTCAGGGGGAAGGGCTGGTAAGTTGCCTGGATATAACACCCCTCCCCCCACTTTTTCCCCTTTTGTATACTACTGTAGTGTCATGTATTTTCCAGTCCTAGTCACCCCACTTTTTTAATAGTCCTTCACAATCTCATAAATATATTATTCTTTACGTTTTTCCCAGATTTTAAATATGACATTGAAGCAAGACTTTTTGTTAGGGCTTATATTTTTGCGTATTATTAAAATAACAAAGATATGATTATCCAATTGTATGTGCAGAATGGAATGACAGATTCTTCAGGTTCTTTTCTTAAATCTCATTCTTATCAGCCAAAAAGACATCCAATAACTTAAATCTTTCTTAGGAAGATTTGCAAGACTAAGACTTAAAGGGGCTTAGTCCTAGAAATAAAAAATCTTGATGAACTGCAAGTTATCTGTTCTCCAGGTAAGATTATCAAACAAAAGCTTTAACTAGCAAGGTAGTTAGCAGTGAACAATGAGATTCTATTGGGTACTCTAAAATCAGTAAAACAAAAAACAAAAAAAAAAACGTAACTGGAAAGAGCATTTTTAAATCAGTAAAACTGTGAAGTTTGAGTAAGAATTTTACTTCAAAGCTTGCAAAGATATGAATACTTTTGAAGTATGCATTTGGTAAGGAAACCTTTGCTGGGGGCAAAGAGATGCCTCTAACGAATGTTTTCATACAAAATTTAAATTTTTGAAATTTATATCTTCTCAATATTTGAGCTTACTTCCTTTACACTGTATAATGTAATAAGAGTAAATTTCTTCTAATGTATATGTAATGTTGTGCTAATCTTAACGTGCATTTTACAGGTATGGTAAATTATTCTACAGTCCTGTGAATTTTGGAATCACCTGATAAAAGCTTATTTGGAAGGGATTAGAATTTGGCCATCTATTGTTGTAAATTGGCTTTATTTTCCTTGCATGAATATCAATTGCTTTTCCTTTTATACTAGCCATGGACAAAAACTCCATAATACAGCTTATAATCTTTAATGATTTTTTTTAGACTTACAATATAAATGTCTGCAAATGTAGTTCTTCTAAAAATCTGCCAGTAATAGGTCAATCTACATAGGCCTAGATAAATGCTAAGTGGTATTAATTGTTCAAACTCTGTGATATTGTTCAAATTCAGCAGAGCAGAACCTTATTGTCTGACTTTTGTCTTAATAACATTGGGTTGATCTTAACACACTCTGACCAATATTTCATAAATGAAAGGTGTGCATGAAATTAGATTTTTTTTGTGATATTGCTTTGAATTTCAAAGTAGATGATCTAGTGGTATAAAATGACATCAAATATATAGAGGATATTACATGGGCGCGCGGAGATACGAAATTTATCTTCGAGTTGGTGAAAAGATCTCTCACAAGTGAGCGTAGCGAACGAGTGAGAGATTTTCAACACGAGAAGATAAATTTCGTATCTCCAAGCGCCCATGTTCTGTTTATTATATAATTATCAATGAAGTATGTTTTGRCTTTTTCAGGCAATTCTTTCCGTGTATTTTTGAATAGCCATCKCAATMGTGTTATTTTCACGTGTGAAAATATCAATTTTTCGAAATAGAGAAAAATAGATATTTCATTGGTAATTATATAATAAAAAATTATATCAAATAATTATATCAAATATAAACTTAAATTTTGCCATAATAGCTCATTTATTATAAAACTTGGTTAAATGTATTTAGCTCAATATTTGCTGATGTCTGACATTAATGTGGCTTTTAAATGAGTCTATTCGGTTATCTAAATTTGCTTGATCACTGAATTGTACAATTTCAGTGTAAATTACAGGTACCTCAAGTATCAGAAGACAAAATAATTAACAAGTAGAATCACAAGAGAGCCTTAACAAAAGATAATGCCAGAAATAATCAAAACCTGGAATAAATTTATCAAAACATATACCAGTAACAAATTTTAAAACGAAAGTCTCTATTCAAGAGAAAAAACCATTCTCATAATTATTTTAAATGTGAGGATAACATGAGATTAAAAAARAAAAGCTCAAAATTCCAAGGAGGAAGTCTGATTTTGTGATTTTGTGATTTCATGTTACTCTTGCACCCACAATAATTTTGAGAAGGATCCATTGATGCTCTGAGGGGAGGGGGAGGGTGGCTAGGGGTCATTTGAGGCTAAGTTAATTAATCTTCTTCTGCTTGTTGATTTGCTTTTTTGATATTGTACAAGTTTGTTTACATATGTACTAATTGAATTCTCTACAGAAAAAAAAAATCCTACTAATTATATTGAATTCCTCACTAGACAAAATCTTTGTGTTTTCATAAAATGGAAAACCGATAAAGCATTTATTATGACTCAGTTATATCTTCCTAGCAGACATTGTCATAACCAGCAATTACAATCTGAGTAAATGGATTAAGCTCTTGTGGAAGGAATGAGATGAAAAAAGTCAAAAGCTTACATAATGATGATGATAAATAATAACAGCTTAGTCTAAGATGGATTTTTACTCGTTAGTGCAAGTATCCAACCTCTAAACCAATGGGTTACAAAATATTCGAACGTTCCAGAAATCATTGTCCCATCTTAATACACGTTCATTAGATTTCCTATCACAGATAACAAGATATTTAAAGTTAAATATGGCCCTTCAGGTACTCAGACTTTAACGTTCCACAGCGACTAGGTATATGTCAGTCAACAAAATCATCGAGGTTGCATTTTCCAATTACATTCCATGCTGTTACGATTAATGGGCACGAAATCTATATCTCTGGTGTGCCATACGCTTCCACAATCTGTTTCCTAGTTTGGCAAATGTGTTGTAAAATCAAACTATCTGAAGTGTGGTCTTTGTGATCTCGTTCAAAACGCCAAAGGCGAACAATCGTAGGACTAAGGAGATGCAAACACCACGCGAGATTTGCATTCTCATAGAATCCAACGTTACGAGAAAAGACGAAAACACGTAGTTTGATTTCTGAAATTCAAAACCACTCTTGGGCGCACGGCGCTAAAACAACACAATGAAAATCTTATCTACGGCCTTTCTCTCTCTTCAAATAAACCTCCCCACAACCGCGGTATAAAAATTTGTATATTTAATTCAGGAGAACATTTGAGTGCTTTAGGTTATTTGTTTACTAAGTCTAGCAAGTAAAGTAAAGATCAATGAAATCCACTTAAAATGGAAATCTTTAAGAATATTTACAAATGAAATACCGTCCAACCACTTATTAGTAGGAAATAAAAACTATTCAAATGCTCGTGTTTGCACTGGCCTAGCAGCTGCTCTACGATCGAGTGATTATACTCTGCGAAATTCATCGTACGAATTGAATGTTTTCGATTTAAAGCCATCATCACTTATCGATGCACTTGGTCTAAAGTCATTTCAAGACAATAAAGTGTGTTTACAAACGAAGGATTAGCGCTTGTTACGGCAAGTTGGTTTGGAAAGGGTTCTTTTCCTTATTAAATGTACCCTGTTATTTGCAAGCTTCCAGCTCTATGTTATCGACCGTAAATTGCATAAACCATGGGAGATTTGACATGTGGGAATGGGGCAGTTGCTGTTGATTTGAATTAGGACATAACCAAGGTCATACAATAGTTGGGTAATAAATGAGAAGTCATATGTTGTATAGTAACATTTGGATCCTGATGAGCTCGCCAAAACGCATTTTCAAAATATTCTACAAACAAAACAAAAAAAAAAACAAAAAAAAAACGAAGATCTGACAGATCCACTACGTTAATTGCGTGCTTTCTCAATAAGTTTTTTTTCATCAGTTACTACTTTCTGTATATATTTTCATTATGGGCCAAGCAAAATAAAGCGAACTGCACATACACGAACACAAAAAAATAAAAATGAGCATTTTGTAAACCAGCATTCGATTCGATTTTACCATCGCTAATAAGTCGGGACCGATCGAATGGTTTGGCTTGAATCCTATTGATCACGATAGAGGTGGTTTTTTAGCCCTTTGCTTGTGCTACCGAAATCAAAACCCAATGTAAACACCTATATTCATCTGTCCGTAGCCAATGACAGCATATTTTTCGTCGATCTTTAATCATTCGCTCTTATGAAAGTTTAATACAGTCTAACCACTTTACTCGCATATAGTCTTCGGGCATTCAGACCGGGTCTAATAACTGCGATTTTCCCCTTACTAAAGTACAGTAACATTCCCAAAAAAAAGGTTTATGGCAATTAGGCAGTGCCGTATGCGGTTGAAGATGTGGCCCATTCTACTAGTGTAAACACTCTAAGGATGGTCAGAAAATAATATGGTAAACGTCGATCGGTGAGAATGGTATATGAATATTCGGTGTCGGTGGAAAGACAGTCAAAACCTTCGGTACAATATACGACCGCTTGATCGATATTCCTTCACAATCAAGATAATTTTTTCTCTGTCGTATAGCACATGGCAGGCCATGAAGATTGCAATCTCAGAAGCATAATATAATAAGAAATAATAAGAATAAGAATAGCAATACTTATAATAATACTAATAATGAGAAAATACAGTTGGACGGACCATACCTTGCTTTGAATCCCAAGCGCTGGAAGTGAAGTCCTTCTACGACTGCTATGGCTGCTAGTTGATGAAACACTAGATGAGCGTCGAGTCCGCCGTATTATTGGCACTTTGCTTTCGACTTCAGTAGGACCTTGTGCAAAAAATGCTTGGACATTTCTCGACAAAACGAGTCCAATGAACGCCGAGAAATACGCCAGGAATGGTCGAAACCAGGCGTGAATTTCGTGCAGTGTAATCCAACAAGACACTCTAGCGATAGTTAGAAGCAATAGGACAACGATGGCTGGAATGAGTTTTAGACGAGAGAGAGTAGCCGTAATAAGGCCGGCTAGAATAAGTGTAAACAAAAAACTAGCTCGCAGGATATCCGAGCCGTCGAAAAGTACTTGTGTACAAAATTCTCCCACCGCACAAATTGGAAATATGACTAGCGACACGCGACTATTACAATATTTCTGTACAAGAAGTTCAGCCCAGTAAAATACACACACCAAACAAACTAACGGTAAGAATGTTGTGATCAGGTGTTGAAGAAGCGAACATAACACCATAACCCATCTCTCAGGGATAGAAGCAAACACTAGCCAAGAAAAGCACAAAACAATAAAGCCAGCTCCAGATTCCACGGGACCGAACTTTAACTTGCCGTTGAGGAAAGTCCACTGAGCGGCTGGCGTTCTGTCAATCGATGGCACAGTAGCCGTGATATAGCCGTTATAGGGCTCCCGTTCCTTGTCGCGAAGCAGCGAATCACGGCGAAAGCCGAAGTCAGATAATCTAGCCATCGATGTCTAAAGTAGTTTTGCCGGCTTCTGCCGTGGCCTTAGCTAAAATTCAACATTACTACATGGTGTGCACAAGACATTTAGCCACTCCAATACTGTTTTTCATATGTGAGCAACAAACCAACGAAGCAACTATCAAGGCGCACAGCAGCATGCCGGGACTTCTYGTCTACCAATCGAAACCCTCAAGCTTCAGCTCGTGACGTCATGGGTTGTCACGCGAAAACCTTTTAGAAAAAAGAAATTATGGCTTCCCACAAGGTTGCAGGAAAGTAAGGGCTGCTGTTTGTTCTGGCGTTATTATGGCTTATGTTAAGCGACTGTACGTACGTTTGTGTGTGTGTAGTGTGTGTGCTCTGTAAAGGCTGACCGGCTGGGTAAAAGCTGTAAAAGGGCTTGATCCGAAAAGGTCGAAAAGGCCTCATGAAAAATACAGAGCTGTTTGTGTTCCAGTGTTTCCGTTTAACGCTTTCCATTGTTTTAAGATGTAAATAGGATGAAAGATTTCAAAGAGGTCTTTGTTTTGGGAGATTAGCCTTTTCGTTCTCTTACTGTGAGGGGTAATGGGAATACACAGCCTAAGAAGAAAATATGCTTACACTGAGAATATTTTTTTCCCGTTTTTAATCCCATAGCCGAAGAAAAAAAAAAAAAAACCTTATAATTAGCTCAAGATTGTTGTATAAGGTGTTTTATTTCAATGTCTTTAATCGGCTAAGTCTTTAATTTTTTTTAGCAAGATCTTAGATTTGTACATACAGTTGTATATAAAGCCATAAAAACGGACGGATCTATCCCCAGATTGAAAACCCATTCATCAACCCAACAAAAAAAATATTATTTATGTCGATGAACCAGTTTTCGAATTCAGGTAATCTTGTTGTATATCTGTGGCGGTTTTCTTTGACCAGCAGATCTTAAGTATTCTTGTAATAGACACAATGACATTTAATTTGCTGTCGAGAAAATGTAAGTATTCCTGAAAAACACAACACGACAAATAGAATTAAAATCCATAAAATATAATTAGGATATTCCAACAAACAACCCCAAAATTAAATTTCTAGAATATATTATGCATACATTTAGTCGATGTGCCAATTGATAAAGCACTTCGATCAGTTTTTGCTCAATTATCTCTATTTTGGACCAACATCGTACGTTCTTATATTGTGTTCATTATATTTCAAGCCACTTCTTATAGTGTAGCGCCGGGGTTAACACCTAAAGATGCGTTTCTAAAATTAGTTATTAAGATAATTTCTTTAATAAGACACCGTACTGAAACCAGATGATAATTACCTTATTTTGTTATTCATCATATTCTTATTTGCCGCGCCTCAAACCTAATTCCAGTGCTCGTCTCGGTTTGACGGTTTAGACTGATAAGATATCTCTAGCCTACTTAAGATCTGACTTGATTATGTGAAGTTTATTGTAATTATTTTACTACGTCAAGTGTTTCGACAATACAAATTGATCCCTAACATCCACTATAGCTAGCCTCAATCGCAAGCTCTTGTGCAAATGACCAGGTATGAAGTGGTCACCTCGCATGGGTCTCGCGTTCCTTTCGTGACTATCCTTTCTGGCCGGTAACTATTAGTTTTTTGTTTTTGTTTTTCTATTCAACACATTGTAATATTAGTTTCCCAAAAAAAAAAAAAAAAAAAAAAAAAAAAGTGCATTTTTTACCTTAACACCTACTAGGTGGTGACGTCGACAGTTTGCACCAGGTTCGCTAAAAGCTGCGAGAAATAGCGAAGAAGGTCTGGCAGTAGGTCGTGTATCAGATATATCCAACTTGCTCAAACGTTGCATGTGGAGCTGTATTGACGACTATTAAAACTCCAGTGTATGCTGGCTTACCSTTAAATCTATCCAGGAATTGCTTGTTTTGTTATTCTAATTATTTCTTCTTTTGTTTAGCGACCTCAAGAGTGAGGGTAAGCCCGCATACACTGGAAGAGTTTCTCGAAGAGTCCTCAATAGTGTAGTGCAGCGTTTTAAATTAATTTCTCAATATAAACGTAGAAAATGCTGAAACGATCAGCTTTTTTGCAGCTTTTCATATGGTGAAGCCGTCTGAGTTCGATGAAGTGAAACTATATTTGATGTTGAGCTTTTTCAGAGTCGCATCTATCAGATCAGTTGAGTAGTTCTGATTTCAATTGATTGTGCATTCTTTCGTTTATTCCCGTTTATTTATCCACATTTAGTATATTTATCTGTGTCATGGTTGTTGCTTCTTTCGTTGAACATTTTGTTTCTTTTTTATTTTAGTTTGATTTTTGACAACGATTTTTAGAATGAAAAAAATACAAACGAAAGTTATTCATTCAAATCTTTCAAATATTCATTTTATACCCTTGTTGAAAGACATGTCCCGTTGAAAATTATTTTTTACCCCCTTCCACAGGTAGTCCAATCATAGTTACAAAATTGAGAATGTAAGGAGATCGTTAAAATTTCTTTGAATTAAAATAGACTTCATTGTTGGTTTGTTGTTATGTTTTTTTTTTTTTTTTTTTTTGTTGTTGTTGTTGTTGTTGTTATTTTGTTATTTTGTTTGTTTTGTTTGTTTGTTTTTGTTTTTTTTCTTTTCTTTTCACCTGCCCGTAGCAATGTTTTATTTGTGATTTTCTGACGCTTTAGTTGTATTTGGAGGTGATTTTAGGAGTTTTCAGGAAACCAAAACGCATGCAATAATACATTGATACACGGGTAAAAAAAAATGATGCATTTATTTTATTTTATTTTACACACAGGTAGCCCAAGCTTGGTTTCTGTGGTGTCATGTTATAAGGCCATGTATAGGGATTCATCAAAAATTTCGATAAAATCATTGAAACGTGAAATAAAGCCTCGAAATTTTACCCGATCATTGAGAAATAGCACCTCTTTCACCCTGTGTGGTTTTTTTTTTTTTGAATTTAGCTCGTTTTAATATTTTTTCCCCCACCAGTATAAGAAATAAGCTTCTTCTCTTCACCTTCTTCTCTCTTAACTGTGTCCATATATAGTATAAGGTATCCCATGTTCCTATTGTGTCGTACGACTGGTTCAGTTCTCTCCACGCGGTCGAGGCAGGTTCTTGTTGTTTTAGAGCGAGGCTCAACATCGGCCACTGAATCTTTATTTTTAGACGAAAATCTGTCTCGCTTTCAAGCGTAAACACAGGGAAAAGCCTTCCTCACTGATCTACAAGAATCTAGCTACAAAAAGTTGGTCAAAAGTCACGATTTGGATGGTGTATGGCGGAAAACGTCTCCGAGTCGTTGGACACGGTGGCTTTGCCACAGCAAATAATGGCTCAAACCGAATCAATAGCTGTTCAAGCTACGACTAAAAGTAGTAAGCTTAATAGTGAAGGGAATGGGGGGATACGAGATGCTACTACACAAATTCCTAGTACTATTGTTAGTATTCAAGGGACTGCTGAATCTATCTCGAGTATTAGTGATGTAAACATGGCTGAAGAAACAACAACAAGTGAAGGAAGTTTGAGCGGGAATGAAACTATCTCGGTTAGCACACAGGTTAACATAATTAACGAGCCTGAAAATATGGCTATCAACGAGTCTGAATATGGAGAACAATCTATGATTCATGCCTCAACTGGACATGTAATAGGCGAAGAGAATATGGTACAAGATAACACAGAAACAGTTAGCATTCCCCAGGATACTATAACTATGGTTTCTGATGGTACGATAGTAAGGGCTGGAGAACCCTTACAAATGCCTACTACATCTCTAGCCTCTCATCTGCCCCCATGGGCTGCACGCCTAAGGGACTGTGAACTTATTGGGGATTCCTATAGGGGTTACGTCACCGATGAAGTAGAGCTYGACCTCATACTTACCTTGCACAAGCAATACACAAATAGCTGTTGGGGTACTCGGCAGTCACCATCATCTGCTAAACCATCCATAAGACTAATGTGGAAATCACAGTATGTACCATATGATGGGATCCCGTTTCTAAATACTGGTGAGTTCATCATCAAAAATTCTATAGTATTATTTCATGACAGACCTATTTACTTTCCGCTTTCATTTTGTGTTTGCATTGATTTGCATTGAATTATTACTTAAAAATTATACTTAAATATACTTAAATGCATTCAACTTAGGCATATGATTTTTACAATCTTCAAACATAGAAACTAGAAATATAGAAATACAAAGTGGTCATCATTATTTCATTTTATAAAAATAAATTTAATAAACCAGGTCGCAGAGCCACCGTAATGGAGTGCCAATATGGCCCAAGGCGCAAGGGAAGTTCTAACAAGAAAACTTCAGAATTTGACAGCGAAGGTAACACTATGAAGAAGGCACACCGACCAACCTGTCCTGCTAGGATTTATATCAAGAAGGTCCGAAAATTTCCAGAGTACAGAATTGACTTGGGTCTCAACCTTGAGGGAAAGAATGTTCGACAAGCACAGGAGAGGGCATTGACACACTTAAGACTGGCTGGCGTGGAAAATGGTGGAGAGGAAAGGTGAGTTGAGAGATTTTAAATTTTTAAATGTCAAAGTAAAAATCAGGATAAAAGGTTATATTTCGTTTCAATGACATGTAAATTTATCATCCAGTGCGTAATATTTAATTTCTAATATATATATTGTGGGAAACTCTTTATAAAGAGTTTGCTGTACTTGCGGTGGTGATAAGTGATGACAAGTTTTTTTTCTGATTTTTATCTTCAACATAGCTTAACATGCTAAACCCCAATGTGATGTAAGGTTTACTTTGCCCTGCTTTGATAATAAGCTGTTTCAGAATTCAATTTGTGAATTAGCTGTGCCCTGACTTTGGTAAGTCCAGAGGCTGTCTTAGGGTTCAATGTTTGAGTAACTTTAATAACCCCTGAAGATGTTGTTTCAGGGCTTGACCTGTGAGTTAGCCATGTCCCAGCCCAGAGCTTGTTTTACGAGTTTGATCTTTGAGTGCCTTGACTTTGATGATTCAAGAGGCTGTTTTTGGTATTGATGAAAAAATAAGTTTTTTTATAATTTCATTTTTATTAGGTTTTATGTCCAGTTACCTCTACCAATAGCACATGAATATCATGACATTGAAGACATACCTATCACCACAAGCCCAGAAAATACAGGACAGCGTCTCAACCAGCAAGTAGCAGATAGGATTCAAGAGCTTGTTGCTAGGGGCGTAACAGGTGTTTATACAATCAAGCACTGTCTGAAAGAATATGTGGAGAAAGAGTTGTATTTTGGTCAAGAGGCTCCTCCCAGACATAACAAAGCTTTCTTTCCTACTATCATTGATCTTCAAAACCATATCCATCAGGCCCAAAATGCTCTGAATACAGGATCATTATTGCCATTACCACCAGTAAGTGTAGATAAAAATATCAAAGTTCACAAATTATGTTTCAAATGGGGCATATATATTATTGTGGCACACTAATTTATTCATGTGACTTAAATAGGCCAGGCGAATGAAGGGGTCAACTTGACTCGGAAAGATTTCAAATAAAGATTTCTTTCTTGCCAATAACCCCTTTTACTGTTGTTCTACTCTAACTGTGAATTTTTGAGTTTGTCAACCAATCAAATTATGAATCGAAAACAAAAGAATTCAAGTTACATGTATTGAAATTCTATAAAAGCTATTCAAGGAGATGAAATGATAAAATAAAAAAATAAGTATATTCACACAAACAAAATTGAGCATTCATGGTTAGAGTATAGAGCCACAGTAAAATGTCAAAACTGACCATGATTTGAGGTGCATGTGAAGTCATGACTTTAATAATAATAATAATAATAACTTTATTTATCCTTCAGAAATGAGTCAGCAATAATAAAAAAATATGATCTTTAATCAGTAAAGGAGATTTGCGGTCTCGGAAATTCTTTATTTCTCCTATTGTCATGATATTACTACCCCACACTGGGTCTGGTTGTATGAAGATTGTATAGCACTATCAGAAAGATAGGATAGTTATTTTGGATAACAGCATCAATTTATCCACTGGATAAAAATTTATCTGGACCCGGTTGTAYGAAGCCTGGATAGCCCTATCTGACAGATAAATCTTATCTAATGGATAAATTTATTGGATAACAGCATTGACTTATTGATTGGATAAGGACTTATCTGCCATAGTGCCAGATAGTGCTATCCAGGCTTTGTACAATCGGGCCCTGTTGCATAATGCTATCCACCCTTCATACAACCAGGTCCAATGTACTGATAACAATGCAACATTGTTTTATGTTAAAGCTGAACAACCTACCAGTCATACCTTCTGTAACCAACAAAGAAAGAGTGCGCAAAAGGAAACATCCTGAAAAACTTTCCCAGACATCTCAAACAATCCATCGCTTACAGACAGCAGAGGCTATTGCCAGTATACAGAATATAGGACAGGTTCAGATGGATCAAGATGGGCAGTCATCAGACTCAGTGGTACGTGGGAACTTTGTTTTAGTATAGGAAATCACATTTCCTCAAGTACAATTCCTCATTATAGCGCTCAATGTTCTCTCAATCAAGGTTTAATTTGAATTTTCAATAAGGATAAAACTACAAGCGATTCTTGAAATGCTAAATAGTTATTGTCTTCTCTTTTTGCAGGTAGAACATGGTGGAATTCCACAAGATAATGACAATCAGCTTCAGGAGCAGCTTGAAAATCTTAACGAAACAGCTGAGGGACAGCAAATTCTGATAACCCATGGCCAGTCAGACCCCAGTAAAAGTGGTAATAATTATTTTATTATTATTGTTATTAATCTATCTTAATTTATAAATATAAAATTGAAACTGCGAAAATTTGAAAAAAAGAAAGGTTTGCCTGGTTAGTGGAATCAGGCTATTGCATTTGATTTGTGAGTCCCCAACCCACTCCAGTGCTTAGGTTTAGGAACAGCTGGTCAGGTTAAAAATACTGGAAACTCTTATAAAGTCTTGATTATATTGAAAAGTACATTGAATAATTGGAGAGGAGGTGGAGGGTCTTCTAAAATTAACCATTTCTAAGGTGTAAACCCTGGAATGAGATTAAGATAGTCTTCTAAATGTATATGTCAACCAACAGAACAAAAATCAATGCTTTAACCCATTTGAAAATCCTGATGTAACATGACATGCAGCCAATCTTTATTAATGTACACAGTCACCTCATTTGATAGGGTTATAAGCCATTTCGGTACATTGGTTTAACTCCGTCCATTTTCTCGTATTTAGTTTTTCTTTGCACATTCTTTTTTTTCCTAGGGCAAGTCGTAATAGTTGTTACATCAAACAATGTCTTCAATGGCCAAGAATCTGATACACCAACCACCTTTGCGCTGACTACTCTTCCTTCATCCCAATTCACCAACATGCAACAGACAACATCCTTTGGAACTTTGTCGACAGGAAATCCAGCTGTTCTTATARCTGAACAAGGAGAAAATGGCCAGTTCCTGGCTCACACTCAATCAGGGAACATTTTGACAGTAATGAATCCCAATTCACTTCAAGGAGGTGCACCTACTGAAGGTATTGTCTTACGCATGGTGGCTAGTCCTAGTACTTTATCAACAACAGCAACATCTGTAGATTCACAGGCACAGCCTTCAGGTAATAATCAAGTACACGAGAAGGGTCTTATATAAATGATACACCCTGCATTTTAGAGACTCTTTCTCTCCAGTACCAATCCTGGTCATTGCGAAACCTATGACCAAGAAGCGCTGGAAGGAAAGAGCCTCTGGAATATAGGTGAAGTTGGTGCATGTTGATTCTTTTCAGTGTGTTTCTAGGATTTCTCCGTATAATTTTTCTGCAGATTTAAATTCCAGTTGAGTTGAGACTGGATGAAGATGCACCTGACGGAATGATTCCTCTATTATCACTCTTTTGCCATGCTTATATTCATCAGTTATGTTCGGCACATGGGTGTGGCATATGAAATAGGTCTTTCAAATCTACGGCATGTATTGTTAATAGTTAATCATATAAAATGTGATCAATTTCAGCACCTGAACAGTTACTTGCCAGTCAAGCAGCAGTAGCGGCAGTACTCAATGCTGCTGACACTTCCAATCAGCAACACAAAGGAGACAATGATGGTGAGCCACCAGTCAAGAGACAAGCTGTGGGAATCGATTTATCTTCACTTGTTAAGGAAGCTGGTTTTGATACACAACAAGTCCAGGTAATAGACAATTATTCTGGACACAGTGCTACTGTATGTGCTAGTAATACGAAAAGTATACTGCCTTAAAGTTATAGGCGCTAGTTATCTTAAGCTTCAGATCAAATGTCATTCTCTTGAGAATAAGATGCCATGTGTGTTTCCATGCAGAACCCTTAAATAAAGGAATAATATTCTAGGGAATGACACATAGTCTGACACTAACAAGGACGGCGGAGCAGTTTTTTGATTGTGGGGGGGGGGGGGGGGCTCAATAGTTACATTGTATGGCAATGTGGGGGAGAGGGGGCTACCAGGGCCCCCCCAGCCCCCCTGGTTCTGCCGTCCCTGACAAAAGAGGTCTGCAGTGTGTTGAACCATTTTGGGAATATTGTACTATAGTACTTGCATGCTCTTTTAATTTCCATGCTGCCTTTTCCATCGTCTCCAAGCCTGACTCTCTTTCTCCTCCTTCCTTTCCTATCTTTTTTTATTTCTAACTCAGAAGGTTTTTTATCAGGTGGCTGGTGTTGACATGTCTGGAGAATCAGGAGCAACAACAGCACAAGCCACTGGTATTGTCCTAGGACACTCATGTGAAACCACTGAAAACGCCCAAAGCTTAAGTCAACAAGAGCAGTATACAAACACTACAGAAACCCCGCTCTACAGCTATAGTACCACCAGCGACGACTCAAAACAACCACCTCAAGTCGTCTCTGTAAACATGCAACATGTTTCCATGGGAACAGGCAATGAAAGACAAGGAGCATCAGATGAGAGCACCCAACAGTCAACCTTAGCAGTTGCAGAGAGCTACCAGGTGTTAGAAGACCAAGCTTCAAATTCAATACGTATTCAACAAGGAACGGTTGACGTGGGGCAAATTCGACCTGTTGTCATGACAACAGACCTAATGGAAAACTACCCGGTGTCGAAGTTTACCAAGTCATCTGGTACTGAAACAGTTATGATTGCTAGCTCCCATTCAGGTCCAGGAAACAATGGTATTGTCCAACAAAGTATGGGGCAGCTTGACTCGGAGTTGGTACTAATGGGAGAAGATGGGTCTTCTGAATCATATCAGACGAATTCATTACAAAATAATCCTGGTCCTGAGTCTGAGTCTGAGGGAAATATGGATAACCTTGCTAAAGAGTGTAATACTGAAAGCTGAATAAAGAAGCTTTTATTCCTATACAGTACTCACCACATGATCAGAAACCAATGGATTCAAGTCTCTGGGCTGGACAGAAAGTATGAAAATAGACTTGCCTGAAATTGAATGAAACATCATTTTCCAGCTAAAATCAAAACCAATAAATTACATTTTAGGAGTGTCATTTAGAAATATCTTTGTCATAAAACTTCCTAGAACCAGTTGTTAGTGTGTTGGCAATGCTAGACTCTGCTAGCAAGGACATCTGTGTTTGCGATTGCATATGAAGTCTGATACTGTGTGACACACTCAGTAACCTGGCCAGTACCATATGAACAAATTTAACCAATCACGACATAGAGTGAAAACAAAACGATCAAACTGAAATGAACCAATCAGGAACAAACAGCGAAGCCTAGATATCTGCATGGGGCAAGGTCTCAGTTCTAAGAAGGTCTAAAACAACAGAAACAAAACAATAGAAAGAGTCGAGTTTGTTTTGGCCAATCTTGACAGCTCTACGTAGCGAGTGCGACATAACTGGTATACACTTATTTCAATAAAGTTAGTCACCTGAAAAGCTATAAAGCTGAGACCGACATGCATTATGGGTAGATACATTTTACATGTTTCAACCGCTTGATAGCTGTGGATGGACTCGAGATTTTCTACCAGTTACAAGTTAACCTCCTCTGAGTATCCTCAACTGCTGCAGTTTTTGTCAAAAGCTTCACTCGTTGGATATAAAACATTTCCCCATGATTCTCAGCGATCACAGCTTCTTAGGTTTTTGGTGACTAACTTTATTGAAATAAGTATATTATCTGAGGGGAAAAACAGATGTTAATGACAATTGTCGGAATGAAAGATTGTGATTGGCTGCGGTAATGTTTTTTTTACTGATTATGTCTTACAATCTGATTCTCCTTATTAGCTGAAGTTTTTTTTCTACGATGTTATCGTGGTCTCGTTTAGTATGTCCGCAGACTAATTTAGGCTAGCGAGGGAAGAGAGAAAATTTGGTTGCACTTCAGTATGAAAATATCTGCCTGGTAATTTTTATCTTTACTTGGAGAAATCTCTCTTTACTAGTGCATGTAGTATCAGCGAAGAGTAACATGCATTTTGCTTGCTCTACAGTGTTAAATTTTTAGAAGTGAAATAATTTTTATATTTAGTACTGCTCAAATATTTATTACTAATAAATTTCTTAAATCCTGTTTTAAGAATTTGAGGTGACTTATACTTCATATAGGGTGTGGGGTATCCTCAGTTCACCGAATAATTTTCAGTTCATTGTTTTATTAAATAATTTTACGAGCGCTGACTATAATATTAACCGAAATGATGAAATCTCATTTAAATGTTAACTACATACACCTTTTGCCGTTCATTAACAGAAAATGTACATTCATTTGTGCCAATAGTTGTATCAATAACGTGTAATGTACTTTCATCAACACCACAAGTAACATCATTAGCGCGGATCAACTTTCAATAACGATATTTGAATATGCGTGTACATTCATAGGCATCAATGGACAATCAATAGCGCGTTCGTACATTCATATGCGCGGATTGTATTTTCTTGTGCGCGAAATTAAACTTCAATAACACCAAATGACAGACAATTGCATTTATAGACAATCATTTACCCAAAAGTGAAAATTCATTAGTGCTATTAACATAATCATTGACAGTCTATAACGCGCTTGGACAATCATGAGGGTCAACGTTATATTCTATAGCGTGGTTCGACAAACATTTGCATGATTCGAATGAACAATAAGAGAAATAAAACAATCATTAGCGATTTAAAAAAAAACTATTTTAACCTTCAATTTCTTCGCCATTTATACATCGTGGCAAATACGTTTGCATATATCTGAACCACTGATCACATTTAGCGATAGTGATGSTTGCCACATTTCTCTGGAACCTTCCATTAGCAACTGCTTTCTGTAGAGACCTAAAGCAATCCCTTGTCGTCTTGCCTCAGCCCGATCGTTCGTATGTTGTTGGATCTCTGGACGGCTGAGGTCGGCTTTGATTGCTGCTTTAAGTGAGCTAATTGCTATTCTCCTACGCAGCCGCTATTATGGAGGCAGTTTCCTGAGTTTTTTACAGTATATGTATTAAAGTGATTAAAAAAAAAAAAATCAAAAAAAACCCGCTAATGATTGTTTTATTTCTCTTATTGTTTATTCGAATCATGCAAATGTTTGTCGAACCACGCTATAGAATATAACGTTGACCCTCATGATTATCCAAACGCGTTATAGATTGTCAATGATTATGCTAATAGCACTAATGAATTTTCACTTTTGGGTAAATGATTGTCCATAAATGCAATTGTCTGTCATTTGGTGTTATTGAAGTTTAATTTCGCGCACAAGAAAATACATTCCGCGCATATGAATGTACAAACGCGCTATTGATTGTCCATTGATGCCTATGAATGTACACGCATATTCAATTATCGTTATTGAAAGTTGATCCGCGCTAATGATGTTACTTGTGGTGTTGATGAAAGTACATTACACGTTATTGATACAACTATTGGCACAAATGAATGTACATTTTCTGTTAATGAACAGCAAAAGGTGTAATTTTAGCTTATTTGTCTGTTAACCCCATCCACATTCTCTTATATAGCATTCAAGATATGAGATTTCGGTCTTGGTCATAATAATCTAAGAAATAGAATATAGACGCTTCAGCAACCCTATTTTGCAAAACGTCAGTTGTAATACTTTGACCCTCTCCATTTTCCTTCAAAGTCACCTACAGAATAGATCTAGAGGCTTGCACAAATCAATTTGGTAAGTATAAAGCACAGATCAGGGACGGTGCACTGGACAACCCCCTAACGCCGTCATTACTCTTACGCCTTTTTGAAGCAAAACAAACACATTTCTTCATTTTGACAAATTCCTGGATCCGCCCCCACACTATTGGCTTGCCTAGTTTTTCTCCGCTCGCTTTTGTCCTAATTCTTTCACCTGTAAATCTAAGAGAGGTATGTCGCGAGTGGAAGCATGTCTAATGGGACAATTATGGGCGAAAAAAAGGAAGTCTTTGAAATTTTATATTTTTAAAAATTTATATGTCATTTGAATAGAGGGCCTTTAAAATGCCTCAAAATGCCTCAAAACGGGGGAAAATTGGGATTCAATGTATAAGGGTCGGAGGAAAAAATTTGTGTATTTGCTATTTTGCAACCAACCCCTCCCCGTAGCTCCCCCGATATATTTTGAATGCTTCCTTAGGCGTACAAAATGTCTATGATAAACAGTTGCCCTATTTCGCTAGTACATGACGTCACTGCTTGTTTATGTGGGTGATAGAATCGCCAAATTCAATAGAAAATTCAACAAAATTTGCTCCTAGCGAAACAGTTTAATCTAAAATGGCCTGGTTTTCAGATATAATATGTGCCAGTAATATGTAGTAACAAATATTCTGAACGTTCTGGCTATTCTACTTCTCTTCACAATCGATCTTCTCAATTTATTTTGTTCCTAAAATTGGGTTTCCTGTGTCATGTCACGTGAGACTGCCTGCTCAGCTCTTTCTTCGCTTGCCTTGGTTGACTTCGCTGCAGGTGCAAAGGGCGACCCCCTTGGTAGAGGCTATTTCGCGAGACTCAAAACGACATCCCGAAAATGACGTCACCTTCGTGTTCCCGACGGAATGATTGTCTCGATAGTGAAGCTACCGGAAATCATGCCATGTTGAAGTCGTGTTGAAGCCGTTTGTTGAGTGTTTGAACGTGTAAATCGTGATTAATTTTAAAATAAAAATAAGAATCTCTCAATAATGTCGTACCTTCTGTTATTGAAATCGTTTTCTAGCCATTAATTGAAAGAAGAAACAATGTCAGCCTGATTCATGCGAAGTAATGTAAAAAAAGTTATGAACACTATTTCGCGTGAAGGAAATTGACAACCGGAAGTAAATATGATGGATGGTCCTTTTGGTGGAAATTTCAGAAATTTGCCGGGAAATGTGGTAAAAATCTTGATGGAGATGGACTATATTTTGAATCATTTGAATAACTTCACATCTCTGGAGACA